CATTAACATTCTAAAATCATTGACAATATATATCATTAATGTGAATATAAACAAATATATTTTATCTTTGTCCCAGTCCATCAACATACTGTATGTCAAGATGGTAAACGTTTTAGCAAAGTAGAAAGTATTACAGAAACCACAAAAAAAGATTTGTAAAGGATAATGGTTGCATAGAAACGTCAGTGAATTAAAAAGTAAAAAATAAAAGACATACATGACGTGACAAGATGAGCTTGACTGTTACAGATAAACTTAAGAGTTTAGTGATTTTCTTCTTATGCAAAATAAATCATTTTAAAACCAACTGCAATATATGTAAAGTTGAAATCAGGGTTGTTTTCTCAACTCATGAAATATGACATTTTTGAGATACACTGTCAGTGTCACTGACAGCAACATTTTTAAGATTTCCACATTCTATTAAGGAACACCATCTATAGGGCTGCAACACTTGTTTACATTGTCGATTATTTTCTTCATTAATCCATTAATTGTTTGGGACATACAATTGGTGAAAAATGTCAATCAGTGTTTCCCAAAGCCCAAGGTGACGTGCTCACATATCTTGTTTTGTCATAGAGGAGTAAAGAAATCAGAATTTAAGAGGCTGGAATCAGAGGATTTGGATTGTTTTCTTTAATTACTCAAACTGATTATCAAAATAGTTGGCTTTTAATAGATTATATAATAGATAGATAAATTGTTGCAGCGCTAACTATCTAGCAGTCAGTGTTTGGCCTTTGACTTAAACGTAGTAGGATTTGATTCCTCCTTAATTCAAAGGAACTAGCTTTTGCACCCTTACCCAATTGTACTTAAGTAAGGAAGAACCTACTCAGGTAGAGCAAAGAGGCACCAGGGATAAATCTCTTTGTCTTCACCTGCCTACCATACACGTTCAAGGACTTAGCTTGGGATAGAACAGATCAACCCTCATAAATCCAATTGCTTTGAGAAGACTTGATTAGGACCCTCGGCTGAGAGTGAAGCAATGACCGCTGCGACAGGAAGCTGCACTGTCAACAGGAGCCACTACTACTGTCGCATTGTCTGGCAACACCAAGACAGAAAACAGGCCACACTGGAGTGCTAACTAAATTATCCAGAGTAATTTTAAAGTATATATTAAGAGCTGCTGCTGAATGGGTAATTGTGTGGGAGAGTAGACCTGGGAAGCTGAAGGACAGAGACTGGAGCATCTGGAATGCATTAAGACAATAGGCCAAGAGGGTCAATTCTCCGGGAGATTCATTAGGCAAGCTGTGAGCCTGCTGTTCGAACTGGTAACTTGCAGGCTGCATCTTGTTAGCAGGATAATGTCTCCACTGACTGCACCATGCTGATGCTGAGATTGGTGGCAATTTTGAACACAGCTTCAGGACACAGAGGCTGGAAAGTCATATTGTAAATGCTGCAAATACTGTAAATGCCAAGGAAATTGTAAAGTGTAGAGATTAAGCCATGTGCATTACTTATTCACACAGCAGGGACAAGGGCCTTGGTGGGGCAATTTATTGGGGGACGGAAACTAATTAATGTGTTAACATTTAAATAAAACGCTTTCCTCTACATCTATTAAACCCCACAGAAATTTGTAAAAGAGCCTGCACCTCAGCTCTAAAGGATCCTTTTCCCATGAAAAAGGTTGACAGGGCAATCTTTTGGTCAGGGAGCAACACAAACTAACCCCGATTAACCACAATAATGTAAACCAGCTGGTCTTTCATCAGAAACTCACCATGACCCCTTCCTCTGAACAGTGCTGGAGCGTCAAAAACAAAGAGACTGTACACGGGGTTATGACATCTTTCTAAGTGTACAGCTGCACTCTGACCTGACTAGCATGACTCCATGTTGTGTATTTACAGTAGGAGCGGAGACACAGTTGGGGTGTCCTCACAACACCATGAAAATGAATGTGCGAAGAACTGACAGTGTTTTTACAGGGTCTGCTAAGAGTGTCATAAACAGCAGTTTCAGGATCACTGTTGTATCTTTTCATGATGGATTGCAAACTATCACTAAGATGAACATTGGTTACTGACATATTCATTACTGAGATTGCATATTACAATATCATAAAATCACCATGTGTTGTATTTACAGCTGTATGTTTAAGTTCAAATTAATCACCTAATATTACTCTGATATAGGTTGAATCTATAAAACAGGATAACAGCTAAAAAGCTACAGTAGCTTTCGTGTTTATTGAATTCAGTCTAATACTCAAATTACTGGTTGATTAATTGATTAGTTAATCAATAGAAAATGTATGTTTGATCTAGCTTTTTCTATTTAACATTATACATTTAATATTTTGGTTTTATTATTGTTATTATATTTGGAGCACTCATATGGAGTTCAACAAGTGATCTAGTGGAGTGTGTTTAAGCATTCATACCACTGAGAATTGCTGTTCAGCTGTGTGGCAGTAACACAGTACTGAAAAGCTGTTATCTCACTTGACACTGCTGTCATTTTGAATTACTTGAGGGTGACTGATTCGACTGGTCTAGACATGACAGCTTTTAAATAATTAAAAATGCTTTACTCCCAGCGTGTCTGTGGGTATGGCCCCTAAATAAAATGAAAACACAACCATCCACATGCATAGTGTCTAACAGAGGGCTGTGCAGATCAACAGGCAAAGACAGGCAACATAAACGGCTTATAGGTGTGCCTTTAAATAGTGTTCTAACACACTAAGCCATTCAGCATGGTCTGCATTAAAGCCTGGAACAAAAGCGCAGAGAAAAGCAGATGCGGGCTCTACTCCCTGAACCCATGATCCGTCCTGATAGGCGCATAATGAGAACCAGACAAGTGTTCACACCATAACACATACAAATCCCCATTCATTATTCATGGCAGATTACCCTCTTCATTAAGGCAGAGGCGGGGACCAGGGGACAGAGAGGGCAAGAGAGAAGAGGAGGGGAAGCCGGTTTACGAAACTGTTACCGAATGAGAAGCAACCAAGGAGCTCTGGCCCGCCCACACTACTGAGGTTAAGGGATGCAGACTGTCAAACTAACCTGCAACCAGATAGGACTACAAACCATGACAAAACCAGGCGGTTTCTGTTGAATAAAGTTCAGGTCCCTGAGGCCCGCAGCTCTGCATTCTGCTTTGATAATGTAAACACAATGTGACAATGCCCTTCTGCGGGAGGCTGGAAAATGTCAGTGTAGCAGAACCGACATTACCACAGCAGGACAACCACCAGGCCTCGCTAACCTTCATCAGCAGGACGAAACTTGTTTTTTGCCTTACATCATAATCAAATGGTATTTAAATACCAACGTCATGTTATAGTCCGACAGGGATTTCAGTCTTTTCAGATACCCTTGTCAGACTTACTGCCTGTAAATTTAAAGTCACTATGAGCCCTTAACTGTGTCAAAGGAGTGGTGATGGCCCCTAGTTACTCCAGAGGTGTGCGACCTCTGACATGTATAACAATTGTAAGTCGCTTTGGATAAAAGCGTCAGCTAAATGTAAAATTGGTCAGAAGGACCTCATAAAATGACTCCTTGTGAGGTTTTTTGGTGCGTCGTAACTACCTCTGTAGTTAAAGCTGTCTTATTTCCTGCATGACCTCTTATAGAAAGGTCAGACCTTATCAATGTGGTTAAAGTACAGCAACAAAACAGCTACCATAAAACAAGTTGGTGACTGAGTATAAGTCTGGTTAGCTCCAATATTATCACTAAAATAGACACAAAGTAACCTCAGCTATACTGAATCAATAGCACATATATACGGTCTAGTTTTCTAGGTTTCTGATGTGTGGTTTTTGCATGATTTATGGTGGCGTTTAACATTGGCTGCACGCCCTAAAAGGACATATTTCCATCAAAACAGGGAGAAGTGAACGTGAAGCTCCTTTCCAGTGCGTGATGGATGGCGTATGTTGTTGTGAAATGCTCTGCCAGGGCCGAGCTTTGGGCTTTGTTGAGGCTGGCAGGTGAGAGAGATTATCTGTTGGTATAGAGGTCCTATGTGAGGGAAGGTGCAGGTTCAGGCAGGCAAGATGTCTGACCTATTTGAAAGCTTGCTTGGCTCAAAATTGGCTAGAAACACACTGTACCACGTCTATAATAGATTACTAAGAGAGTTCTGTCAACATAATCTTCCCTGACATCAAGACTCTAATGGTGCTTGAACGTGAGTCACTAAAAGCGGTTTAGTCACTGAAAGCCTGGTTTGATCTCAAAATCCATCATTTTGTTGAATTTTCCATGAAGATACTAAGGCACAAGACATGTTTAAACCCAACTTGTCATCTAACAAGTGCCCGGGTAGATCATTTGAATAATGAGAAAATCACTACTTGGCACTAGTGGCCACAACACTATCTATAAAGGGAGCATAGCAAATCATGCTGCACAGAAACCCTGCACAAAAGGCTTTAACACTATCCCCAACATATATTAAGGGTGAAATATGACAAGCATATTTGTTATGTTGTTATGAGACGGCTGGATGGAATGACATTCTGCAAGCAAACGAAAAATATACAGATTATATAAGAGCAATGACTCTCAGTGCATGTGAGACTGTGTCAGAATGCTCTCCGTAAGTCGCAGCACAATAGGCCTCTTCATTTTGTAATTATGTCTGACCTGTAGGTACTCGACAGAGCCACCCTGATGGAGCTGCCGGATTTACATGGATTTTAAAGCATTATGGCGAAGACAAACAGCATTTCACCCATCTAAATCCTTTTAGCTCTTACAAAGGACACACATGAAGTGTACTGATTATTTTTTCTAATAGAGTTAATGAACAGCGACACCACTGGGAATTGCATAATCAGTCCTGTAGGCAGGGTGTGAGAGTATAACATGTAGGTATACTTTGTTAAACAGAAAACAGCTGCTGTTTCTAAATGCTAAATAAATAAATACTAAATACGACCTTGTAACCTTACAGCAGCAGTATGTTACTGCAATGTCACGGTAATTCTAACAGTTAAGAAGTTGATAGAAACTTACTGTAGGAGAAGGTGAGGCGTGGAGTAACATCGTTTTCCATGACAGCTGTATGAAAGCAGACAACAAGGAGGAGAGTGTAGGCTGGGATACGGAGCCAAGCCATACTCATCGTCCGGATGCCTCCTCAGGACCGCCAGCCAACTCGCAGTATTTGTCTTTCAGGTTTTGGGGGAATTCATGAAGAGCGTCTTTTTTTTTTTAAAGCTGTGTTTATTTTCTCTGCCTCTCTCTCTCTTCCTGCAGATCCAGGCTCCTTGAATAGACGCCTTGTGCCTGCAGAAGATGATGCTGGTTTGGAATGATGACCTGTGACCTCAAAACGAGACAGAAAGTCTCTGCTGATCAGCCTCCACGCGTACGCGACACCACAGGGTCTCAGAGATCTGCAAAGATGAAGAAACAACATTCAATTTAGTTCTTTATTTAAGCAAGCTTCTGGAGTTCTTTATTGATCTGGAAGGATAATAAGTAAGACATGAAGCAAAAATGCCAAACATTCTCTGCTCCTAGCTTCTTCATTGTGAGGATTTGCTGCTTTTAAGCATATCACCTTGGAAAACTTGAATTCATTAATTACAAAAAATTACAAAATTTTTAAGAAATTTCAAAAAAATTCAAAAAATTTGTCAGAATCAATAATGAAAATGATTGCAAGTTGCAACTCTAGTTCCTTATAATGGGAACAACTTAAGCGTCATCCTGTACAGTAACAGCTGCAATGCTAATAGGGGTACTAGATTAACAAAATGTCTTTCCATGCAGTGTGCTGAAAGCAGTCTTTATCTTAATAGAACAAAATAACTGGCTATGCAACAATGACACCACATTATATCAGAAATTCTGAATGTAAAAGTGCAGCAGGACAAAACCAAAGTCTGCGTTTTCCATCTGCGGGGCTCAAGCTGACCTTTTCACTCCACACTACAGATCTGACATGGTATAGTATTGCTTTGAGTTTCTGTTCAGCGGGTTGAGCAAGTGATCTCCCTGTAGTGATCATTAACAGAGGCGGGTTAATTTTATAGTGTTAGTGACAAACAACCTTAATCTCTGTATCTTAATCGAGCGTACCTGCTCTATTGTGCACTGCACAGGAAAGCAGAGAAATCTTTGTTAAAGACAACGAAAGGGTGTGACACCCAGATTAGAGCTCTTCTTACAGGAATTTCAGGAGTTTCTGTCCCACAGTTCTCCTTGGTTGAACTTTGGTTTGATTAGTGAGTGGTGAGGAATGGTGTGCATGCATTCTAACCGCTGATACTGTAAAATGTTTTCAATCCCACAGGTCAGCGAAGGCTCTCAGCTGCGATGAGGAATTTATGGAGATAAAAGTGAACAAAGCGGTTACATATTTGCATAGGCCTGCTGTTCAGTTCTTCTCAAATCAATACAGATCAGTGCAATTTTACTATTTTTTTTCACCATTCAAGAGTTGACACTGGCTAATTACTTTATCCACAATCCTTAAGAAAACATCAGCACAAAGCCACAAGTCAACTATTACACCAACAATGGAGTTATGAGGCAGTTCAGTAATGCTGATTAACTGAATGTAGTGAGACGTGAAGGGAAATTCAATAGAGACATCCCAGTTACAACTGCAAACGCTCCATTACAGTTGCCACAGGGAGCTCCTCATTAAATGCAACCAACAGGAGATTCAGTTTCATGTGAGGTATGGCAATCAATAGCAAAAGGTAGCAAGTGAAGCTATTCCTGTTTTCTATCAAGGGGCTCCTGACTCTTCGTCAATAGGCAGTCTGACACTTGCTGCAAACACAGACATCTCCGAATATGAGCTGGGAAGATGACATTTGGAGGAGCAGGAAGGCCGCAATAAAGACCAGAGAACAAGACACAAAGAGGGTTATTTATACAGCAATAGACACACACACAACTTGAATATGAGAAATACAGGCAGACATACTCCGTTCTGTCAATTTAGTCCCTGAAAAGGAGGAATAACAATTAGTGAAGAAAAAGACAAAGTATTTTTCTTCTGTGTTAAGTTGTTTAAAATACAGATTGTTTCATTTAAAGTCTTTAAATTAAAAAATCACGTCAACAGGGGAGCTAATAGATCAATAGATCATTCTCCTTACCACTGGTTCATTATCCAGATTTGTAAAAGCTACAAAAGGAAAAATAATCAAGGATGTCTGGACATTTTAGTCTACAGCAGCAAAACTGTGACTCTTAATGATCATGATGACAAAAGCAGACAAGGTTAGGGGAGGCTTCTGCTTTTGAAACTCGAGGCTAGATCGCTGTCTGAAATGTTTTGGGCAATGCCCCTACGTGATGTCCATGGACCGTAACATGTAATATACAGGGGGTTAGGGGGGGCTAAGCAGCTAAGCATCATTAGTGTCCTTTGTGTGGAACAATTTTAAGTGAGACACCACTTGACCAAGAAACAGTGAAGCTAACATTAATTCTGGGTTTGTGTGACAGTCAGAAAAAAAGCGGCCCGCATTCATCAGGCTGAATCCAACTGAGGTACGCAGAGAGAGCTCGACTCAGCGTGAGTGAGAGAACAAGGGCCCCTCTGACAGCACAGAAATCTATATGCAACTCTGCACTTCACTCCTCTCTCCTGCATGATGCATAACCTGAATCATCCCTTTCACTCCTTTCACAGACGTGATAGTGTGTTCTGGCTGTGGATGATACTCTCCCCATCTCTCTGCCGATGATCTCCTCTTAAATCTTTCTATAGTTTCCTTCCATTTCCCCTCCAGCAACATATCAGCTTGATCAGATCAGTTTGACACAATCCATGCATATGTCACACTTACAGCACAGATTACAAAACAATGCGGGTCTAATCAAAAGGCATAGGTTTGGTTTTATTAATGTGAGGACACAATTAAGTCTGGGGTTCTTCAACCAGACGCTGTTTAAGTATATACAGTTATATTAGAGTAGTAGGGTGACCAGATGTCCCAAAAAATTCAGGACAGTACAAGTAGCTGTCCTGAATCCTGTCCTGTCTTCCCAATCACATCCACCTCCGACATGTACATGATAATAATAACAACAACAATGGTAATAATAATGTACTCCTGCATCCTTTGCACTTTTCATTGCACTATGTCTGTGTAAGTAGACTCTCACACAACAAAAGATTTGGTTGCAATAAAAAAGTCACAAACGGGCAACTGTGTCAACATGAAACTGAAAGTGTTCAGAATACGTTCAACCTGCAATGCAAAGTGACATTTACTATATAAAACTTCATCATATAAAGTTATGAGCATTTCATATACCAGAACCTTTGGACATCATATTTTCGACAATGTCAAAATCCTCCACAGTGTTTGTCAAAAAAGAGGAAATAAGCTATTTATTATATATATAAATATTTAACCAAAGAGGGAAATTCCCAGCAGTCTTTATCACTCATTTCCTGTAATCCAGCTCATTGTAACCAGTAAAATTATCACTATATGTAAGTGAATGGCGGAAACTGTCCAATGACAGCGCTACTTATAAAAGAGTATCATAAATAGCAGCAGTGCGTACACTGCGGAAACAGGTGGCACCACCATTAGCATATGCCATCCAAGTACAGTAGGAGGGGTCAAGACTCCCTGGATTCCACACACAGGCTTTTGACATGAAAAGTTTGATAAATATGACCTCTTGGCATGCCTGTCATCTCAGGAAGCCACCTGTACACACATACATACACACACACAGCCACCTACATCACACTGCTCAGACAAACCCAGGTCACATGCTCCCAGATGTGGCCTCAACCTGTGATCAGCACTTCCCCTCCTGAACCCTTCACACCTCCACGCCACTGAAGGGCTCTCAGATGTGCGAAGGAGCAGATGTGAGATGTGGAGGACATCATCTGTCGGGAGAGATTTTAATGGAGGAACACACCTGCACATATGGACAGAGTGGCTGATTCACCAGGCGAGCAAGTGGGGGAGTAACAGCGTTGACACAGTTCTGCACCGGCCCTACTGCCTCTCGGGTCATTTCGTAACCACTCATTCAGATCTATCCATGAGTAAGACATTACTGCACTAAATTGAAAACACACACTAGTTCTTAAATTGAGATTAGCTGTTAGTTATTAAATATTTATTACCAGTGGCTTCCTGTTACAAAGGTACATTGACATTGACTAACGTTAGCGTGCTAATATGTTATCTGTTTACACTGAAGAGAAAAGGTGGTACTTGTAATGTGGTGAACTCGGATAATTTCAAATTAACGTTAGACTAATTGACCAAGTCACAACAAGGTAAACATAATCAAATATTTCCCACTCATTCTAAACTGCATGAATATTACTACTTTGTATATGGTTTGATTGGGGATGCCTTACTTGCAAGACATTTCTTAGATTTTAATGGCGCAACCTGATTTAAATTACTAGTTTAAAACTAGCTAGTAGCTACTAACAACTTAGGAAGGACTTTACGCACAATCTTAGTAATGAATTCACAAATTGCTGGTGCAACCCAATCCGGTCCCCCAGTTAACACAATTTCACAAGTCTATATTTCTGATTAGGTGACTGTGGCAGCTGAAGAAATACCCTCTCTTTCCTGCCCAACCCATTTTAAGTCCAATCCCCAGACCCAGCTAAGAGTAATTAACAGCTCATTCTTCCCTGAGTGAACCATACAGCAGTAATTATGACCATATGCTAGTCCAAAGACTTTTAATTGCCTAATTAAAATCGTATTAAACTATTGAACAGAGATAGGGGACATTTTGAACTTAAGGTGCAGGGGAGTTCAATTCATCAAGCTTGCTTCTCCTCTGGGTCTTGTGACACACGGTCAGGGGTTGAGAATTTTATCAATAGCGCTGACTTCTTAAAACGTCCCAAATTTGAAGCTATCGGGAACTAAGAATTCATTGACAGATTACGGTAATATATGGCTGTGAAAGTGGATGGGCATATTTCATCACCTCTGTCTTTGAAACCTATACAAGGGCCTAAATCAACCCGGTTTCAGAAGTGAAAATATTTGAAATGATATTCCATTTCATTCCATTTCCCCTTTGCGCAAATTTCCATAACAGATGTGGGGCCAGCAGAAGCAGCTTGCTGATGAAATGTAAAGTAGCGGAGAAGGGTCTGTTGCCGGGTCTGCTATCACTATCAAGGCCAAAGTGGGTGAAAGAAGAGCAGCGGGGGCTCCGCGACAGACAGGAAAGTGCATTATACTCAGTGGAGGAAAGGATGAAAGACAAGCAAATGAAAGGGCAAAGACACCTTTTCCTTTCTGAAGGTGATAATAAACATTTCTGGTCACCTCATCAAACTCAAATGTATTTATTAGTACTTGGTTGGAGATGGAAATCACCTGACAATAACTAATTTCATCAGACAAATACAAAATTCAATGAGATA